TGTGCTAGCTTTCACTTTAGGGTTTATGATCCTTCCTGAGTTAATTGTGTCAAATGTGAAGCAGGAATCAAATTTCTTTCCCTTTGGGATGTGGATAAGCACTTGTTTCTCTGCACCTTTGCTGAGAGAAACATCCTTTCTCCATGGGATTGTTTTCACACTATTAGAGTTTGAATGATGCTGCCCAAAAAAGATGTGTCGACATCCAGACCCCAGGACCTGCGACTGTGACCCTGCTTAGAAACAGGATCTTGAGAGATGTCATCAGTTAACATGAGGTCAAACTGAGGTAAAGAGGGTTCTGATCCAATATGGAATTTGTCCTTAGGAAAGAGAAGGGACACACAGAGGGGAAGATGCTTATGTGAAGACAGAGGCAGAGACTAGAATCATCTTTGGGCCACATGTCAAGGACCATCTATGGCTCCTGAAAGTTGATAGGAACTGGAAAGACCTTCCCTTTAACATGCACTGGCTTTGTTTGGCTACTACAACGATGAGGCAGCCCTGGGAAGAGGCCTCCCACGAAGCCCAGGAAATAGGCTTACCGGAGAGCCAGGCCCTGACTCCACATCTCAGCCCAGCCACCCCTCCCTCGGGAGAGATGACTCCTTCTGAGACCACCCATTGCCCTTGTCTAGCCTGCCTCTCAGGAGCTGACCTTCCCGACTCTTACTGTGTCTTGGGGCTGATCTTCCAACCCAAAGGCATAGTGGATGCAGGTGCGTGAGGGTGCAGTGGGGTTCAGGTAGGATCCTTTGCCCCAGACCCCACAGCCTTGCTCCCCACTCACAGGGTCCCCAGCTGAGATCTGGCTGCTGCTGAAGTCACTTCCACATGGGAACCTCACCTGTCCTGAGCGTGGTTCAGGGGCCCTGTTGGTAGGACAACCTGAGCACAAGGTGAAATACTGAGGTAAAGAGGGTTCGGATACATGATGGAAGTTGTCCTTAGAAAAGAGAAGAGATACATACAAATGGAAGATGGCTGATGTGAAGACGGAGGCAGAGACCAGAATGGTCTTTTGTCTACACATCAAGGACATGGCAAGGGCTCCCACCACACTCTCTACCCCACCCCAGGCCTCCTGTTGTTCCCAGAATTTAGCTTCAGAGACCTTAGTCAGGCGAGGCAATCCCAGTGCTGGAGGGAGACACAACTAGATACTGGGCTCCAGGACAGAGGGTGATGTGGCTCAGGGCCCTGAGGATAGGACGCCCGGGCACAGGGACTGGGGTGACAATGAGAGCACAGTAAGGAGTTGGTAGCACACTATTCTCCTCCCTTGACCTCCCAGGGTTACAGCGTGGAGGGAGTTCACCCAGGTAGACTCCCCCCAGGACGGAGCTATCCACTGAGGTGACCCAGCACATTCAGGGTACAGCCTGGATGACAGGACTGTCGGTCCCCATCCTGGTTACTGATGACAAAGCCCCACCATGAGGACACCGTGACGTGACCCATAGGTAAGGTCGTGGTACCAGAAAGCTGCCATGGAGGTGTCTTGAGTTCATGCTGATGTTTCCTCTCAAGTATGAGGAAGGTTAGAACATCTCCAGCGTAGGAGTTTCCTTTTGTGTATCTTACCTCTGACACTCAGCCATCCTGTGAGTGCTGGTCCTTGTGAGTAGATGCCTGGTCCCAGGACAGCAAGCTCGGTGCCCCGACTCAGGTGTTAGCTGAGCGCCCTCCTGTAGGAGGGAGAGAAAACAGTCAGGTGGGACAAAGGTTCAGAGACCACAAGGCACTATGCCCTTACCCCACCCCAGGGGCTCCCATCACTCCCCTACCCCACCTCAGGGGCTCCCCTCACTCTCTTAACACACCCTAGGAGCTCCCATCACCCCCCTACCTAACCCCTGGGCCTCCCCCCTATCAGGCCCTACCCCACCCGAGGCTCCAGTCACACCCCTACCATACTCTAAGCTCTCATCAAGGCCCCTGCCCTTCCCTGGGTCTTCCGTCATGTCCCTATCCCACCCTGGGGCTCCCATCACACCCCTACCCCACACTGGGATTCCCTTCACCCCCTACCCCACCCTGGGGCTCCCATCACA